AATAAGGACCGACCGTCCCGGCATTCCTATGGCCTACCACGACATGATCTTAGAGCAAAAGATAGTTTACAGAACACAAGCACTGTTCCTAGAGCATGAAGCTGATGTGTCCAAACAAGACGGTCTCAACCAGAAATGTTCTAAGAGCAATCCGTGCAATATCAAAACAGCTTATCGAATTTCTTGGGGGCTCGCCATTGCTTGATAGAGGGGCGGGGCTTGGCACCGGCGGAGAAACTCAGAGCGGGGCGCGTTGAGATAACGGCAATTCAAAATCGGTCCCAAAACCCCTCCCTGGGTCCAAACGCAACGGTTTTCCGACCTGCGCCCAACCGTGGTGACGAGGGGGGCCCCCCGAAGGCTTACTCCCGTTATCTCAACTCGCCCTCATCTCATTGGCGCCGTCAGAGAACCCGTCATGCTGCATCTTCGGAGACCTTTTCTGTCCTGCCGCGCCCCTATCCGCGTCAAATCCGTGTCGAATTCATGCTGGAGGCGGCGGATCCGTGTCGAATCCGCGTCGAGTCTACACCAAGTCCGCGTCGAGTCCGCATCGAGCCCGCGTCGGGCGCAAGAAAAGACACCAATTTTGGTGGACAGACGAAGATCCTCGAGGATGCATCGTACCGTCGGGGCGTTGACCTAAGGAACCCTAAATAAGGAACGAGGCCCCTAATTTCCCACAAGTTAAACTTCGATTTCCCATCGAAAACATAAGGAAAACCTGAGGCAAGCTGTGAAACACTTGAGGAACGCGGAGCCCCTCCCCAACCAAAAGGGTTCCTTCTTCAGGGCCCCGACAGTAAGCGACCGTCGAGATTTGACAGGACGCTGACAAAGGGGCACTCCAAAGCTGACAAAGGGGCACCCCGTTTTACTGAAAGCTGACAAAGGGGTACTCCACGTGCCCACGGAACCGCATTCCGAGTGGACCCGGGCAGCGCAGCTAACCTTATGTCGGGCGTGTCCCCTACAAGGGGGATTTTCGACGAAAACTAAAAAAACAAAATACTCCAGAAAGGGAAACATAGTCCAAAAGAAGTCCCCAGACTATTGTTGGACTATTTTTTTTGTATTCTGGGGGTATCTTTCATCTTTCGTCGAAAATCCCCCTGTAGGGGGACAGGCCCGACTTAAAGCTAACCCTGAAAGGTCGTTCGACCCCCCGATGGGGGGTGGCTATTATGTTTCGGCGGACTTCTTGAGAGGTCGGGGCTCAACGACTAGGCGGCACCCGCCGTGCAACAGCGACGACGACGACGAGAAGGACGAGGAGGAGGAGGAGGAGGAGGAGGAGGAGGAGGAGGAGGAGGAGGAGGGAGAGCAGGAGGAGGGGGGGAGGGGGAGGGAGGAGGAGGAGGAGGAGGAGGAGGAGGAGGAGGAGGAGGAGGAGGAGGAGGAGCAGGAGGAGGAGGAGGAGGATGAGGAGGAGGAGGAGGAGGAGAAGGTTTCAACGCCGAGAAAAAAAGGGGGACCAAAACTAAAGGCCTTTGAAGGTTAATGGACGTCCAAAAGCGACCGTGTGTATCTGGCAAAACGTACGTCGATTAGCGAAACCGACGGGGGGACTTCACCGGCACAATCGAATGCCGATGTCGAGTGAACCAGTGCAGATCCCCCCCTCGACCTGTCTGGGGAGGGGCGTCCTGTCAATGCCCGGGACCCAGACCCTCTCGCGTTGTGAAAAAATCCAGACGGGAGACTTTTCGCCATTTTCGGCCTCCCCGTCAACAGAAACGACTCAGGACGATAAACCGGTCCCAGGGAAGGGGTCCAAACCTCTAGGGGCCTACGCTGGGAAAACATCACGACGTCGGGGGTCTAGGGACTGCGCACAGCCGAAGCTGCTCGGGCGGGTGGCCATGGGGGGTGACCTGCACGCGGGGTGAAGAGAAAGGCCCTAGATGGGGGGCCTTCGGGGCCACTTCTAGAACCAGCAGGAGCCCAGAAAGGGCCCTCCAGGGCTCCTTTCTCTCTTCACCCCCCACTGTGATCGCCCCCCGGTACCACCCCCCCCGAGGCTGTGGCGTCCCGTGTTGGATGCTCATCCTGGGAACCTCCCTGGAGACACTCGCCCCACTCGTGCGTCGAAGCTGCGTCGAACGTCCGTCGATTTGAGCCGACATTGAGTCGAACCTTGAGTCGAACCTTGAGTCGAACCTTGAGTCGAACCTCGAGTCGAACCTGAGTCGAGCCTGAGTCGAGCCTGAGTCGAGCCTGAGTCGAGCCTGAGCCGAGCCTGAGTCGAGCCTGAGCCGAAGTGGACTCGAACTGGGGCCGAACTGGAGTCGAACAGAGTCGCGAGGTGGGCCCCAGGAAGGTCCCCCCCAAAACGAGCACCCAACCCGTGCGCCCCTCCGGCCTCCGCGATGGTCAGCCTCGCCTTTGACTACCTACCAGACCACCCCCAACCCAACCCGAAGACCCGAATTCCGGGTTGGGGGGGGGGGTAAGGGTCCCACATGTGCTTTTTTTCAATGTTTCCGGACCCCCCCCACTGGAAATGGAGGGCAAACCTGAGCCTTTCGGGTCGGGCGAAAGGGGGGGATAGCAAAGGGGGGGTTTGAGAATCAGCTCACGTAGCTGATTTTCCCGGCGCCTCCCGGCGCCGGAGGCGGCTATGTATCGAGGAATGGGCTCCTCGGTGAGGCCGAAACCAGCTGCATGCAGCAAATTTCGTAACCCCCCCTTTCCCAATCCCCCCCTTTCGCCCGACCCGAGCCTTCGGGTTGGGTTGGGGTGGTTTGGTGGGTGGTGAGCCTTCGGGCCGTACTCCTCCCGCAGGCGCGCCCAGCGGCCCCGCGCCGTGGCCGGCCAGGGCCGCGGCCGCTCCGAGCGCGCCGCCTCCGCGCCCTCGGGCGCCCGCGCGCCGCCCGCCGGCGGCGGCGCCGCGGCCGCCATCGCTGCCGCCACCGCCTCGGCCTTCGGCGGCGACTCGCGGGAGCCTGCCACACCACACCGTCGGCGCTTGCGAGTCGAGGCTAGATCGACGCGAGATCGGCGCGACATCGGCGCTAGATCGAGGCTAGGAATCGGCGCTGTCCCATCCGCTCCCAGGATGCTGACCGAAGCCAGTCGACGCTCGACTTGGAAGACAGAATTGAGAGCGTATACCAGGCTCCCATGACTTGCTACCGAGGCCTCCCAGAGGGGGTCCGAGCAAGCGGAGTCGGAGGACCTCGGGCACGGCCGAACCGACCCCAGGCAACCCATCCCCTTCCGTGACGTCATCCTCGCCTTTCGAGTCACCCTCCGGCCGCATACAGACGTCCGTCTCGCGTAGCCTCGTCTCTGTCAGGGAGGCGGCGTGACCGGAACCGTGCCCGAAAGTCTGCCCGAGTGCACCCGAAACTGGCGCCCGAAAGCGCCCGAGCGTAACCGTAATGTTTGGCTCGAAACCAAGACGACTCTCAACTTCGGTCACCATTTCGGTCACGCTACGTTTTCGGTCACAACCTCAGGCACTTTTCGGTCACCGATTTTGTGTCGGTCATCTACATTTGCGGCTGATAGGGGCCGGGTGCCATGATACGGCTTGGGGCCAGGCGAGGTGGAGGTCACGAACGGGGACGGTCTGCTAGGGGTCGGTTAGGCCGCCCCCGAGGATCGCGCCGCATCGCTAGTGCACCGCCGCTGCGTCGGCGACGCATCGGAGGCGTCGGCGATGCATGGGCGACGTTGGCGCGGAGAAGGTCGGGCTCCACATCGAGCCGCCTCGGCGATGCATCTGCGATGCGACGCGATTCTCCGACCCCACCTGCTCGGACCCCGTCTGGGAGGCCTGGAGAGACGCACTTCTCCGGGTCAGCACAAGCCCAGGTCGGCCCAGGGCCCGCCGCAAAGTAACTCCCTGCCCGGACCCCCTCGCGCCGTGAACAAATATCGCGGCGGCAGGTGTCCTGCTATTGCCCTTCGGGGTACCTCACCGGGCGGGAGCGTCAAACAAACTACTCAAGATTCGGCGGTGGACACAAACCTCCCTGTAGTAAACCTCCCCTCAGTGCAAACGGCCTGGGACCGAAACCGACGGACCTGGACCCGCAAGAATGACGGCCGCGACGCCCTCTCGCGAACCGAAAACGGCCCATTCATTACTCGACGTGCCAGGGGAGGAGGTCTGTCCACCTCCGAAAGATGGGACGCCGGTCCCTGGGAAGAGGCCCGGGCCTCCCGGGGTCCAGGTTGTTAAAAACCTCGTGACGTCAGGGGTCTTGGGAACTTGGGTCCGCGGAGGGCGGAAAAGGAAAAATTGAGCAGGGACCGACCGTCCCGGCATTCCTATAGTCATACCACGAAATGTTCTTAGAACCCCAAAATGTTCTAAGAACAAAAGCAATGTTCTTAGAACATAAATCCGATGTGTTAAAACAAGACGGTGCCAGCCAGAAATGTTCTGAGAACAGTTCGTGGGAACCACTAAAGGCTCTTAGAACATTGTTTGGTGAGCCTATAGGCGAGCCGACACGCTTCGCCACTGCTTGAGAAATCGGCCCCACGGGACTCCCAGACCTGGGCCAGCCAGAGGGGATCGGCGGCTGCCCGTGGTCGCTGACCCCCGCGTGGCGCGGAGGCCCGCCGCCGCCGCCGCGGCGCTCCACTGGGCTCGGGAGGAGCAGCCCGAGCCCGAGGGCGGCACGACCGAGGAGGAAGATGCGCGCGGGAGGTCCTCCTCCTCCTCCTCCTCCTCCTCCTCCTCCTCCTCCTCCTCCTCCTCCTCTTCTTCTTCTTAGTATTATTAGTATTATCTTTATTATTGTTATTCTTATTATTGTTATATGAGTATTAGTAGTATTCTTCTTACTATTATTTTGTTTGTATTATTATTAGTAGTATTATTATTAGTAGTCTTCTTCTTAGTATTATTATTATTATTCCTAGTCTTCATATTATTCATATTATTATTATTATTGTATTACTCGTCTTATTCTTCTTGTTATTATTATTCCTCCTCCTCCTCCTCCTCCTCCTCCTCCTCTTCCTCCTCCTCCTCCTCCTCATCC